GACCTTGGAGTTTGACCTACTTTTGGAAAACTTCAACTTTGGCCATAACTTTTGAACAGTTGGTGCTTGGGATTTTAAACTCCACATGTGTATTCCTTGTGACAAGACCTTTCTCTGGACATCAACCTCTTTGACCCTTTGACCTTGATTTAGGAGTTTGATCTACTTTTGAAAAACTATAACCTTGGCCATAACTTTTGAATGGTTGGAGCTAGGGCTTTTATACTTCACATATATAATCCTTGTGACAAGACCCTCCTTTGGATATATTAACCACCTTGACCTTGACGTTTAACTTACTTTTAAAAAACTTTAACCTTCGCCATAACTTTTGAACAGTTGCAGCTAGGGCTTTCAAATTTCACAGGTATATTTCTCGATACAAGACCTTTCTTTGGGTACCAACATTTTTTATCTTTTGGCCTGGATTTTGAATTGCATTTGAGAAACTTTAACCTTCGCCATAAGCTGCCATACGGGGGCATCAGCGTTTCACAAACACATCTTGTTTCTCAATAATGTTGTTCTGCACTTGTGCTGATGCGATATTTGTGCAACATTTAGGAATTTATTAGTGTCCATCACGTGATCAACAAAGTCATGTGACATCACAAAAATGCATTAATCATAATACCTGAATACACTCTCATCTCACGTTGACTGCAAATTCATAAATAGATTACAAATTGAAATTAAAATATAGCTCAAAATAAAATGTATATTTTAATGCCTACTAAGCCTTCGGACAGCCTTAACATAGCTGCGTATCTAAACTTCCATATAGGGCATCGACAACATCCATAAACATTGTGCTAAATGAGGACTGAGAAATGCCAAGAATGTCTGCAGTCTCAGACTGGAAATCTTCTTTGGTCAGGGCGTTGACAATACTTAAGAGAGAATGTCACGAATCATCAAGCTTCAGATAGAAACTTAAAATTTTAACCCCTTGTTTTCTTTTATTGGTTGTAAAAAGTGTTCATAGTACACAACTTTTACATATATGAAAATGATGTTTGACCAACAAAACTATTATTTTTTTCCCTTGTTATGTGTTGCCATGGAAACCACCGTAAGTTAAGAAAAATGGCTTCAATTTTAACATTTTTGAAAGATTATTCTAACAAAAAGAATACTGATATCAACTACAACAGACTTTATGCTAATTATTACAGATATGTAGTATACAAAAAAGTTTAAAAGCAAATCTAAACACATATGCATCTGTTGCCATGGCAACACAAATACTGCACAGTTTTACAGTTTGAAAATTTGGAAAAAACCTCTCAAGTTTAAACTTATATATATAAAATCTACAGTAAGCTGAGCATTAAAATGAATTTGATTCTTGCACAATTCACGTTAATCATCAAGATTGACATAAAAAATTGAGATGCATTTTTTTTTTTTTTTTTTTTGTGGGAAAATGGTTAAATTTTATGTTTGAACTCTTAAAATAATGTTTAAAATGAACACCAATACTTTAGGAAAACTTTCAATTTCTTCCAAATTGAACCTATTTCATGTATATATGCTATCATACTCTTGCATCGTCAATAAATTTAATGATATTATGGGATAAAAATCCTGTAATGTGCCTATAGCAACCAATTTTACAGCATAGCAACCAAGGCGTTTTTAAAACATCATGTCAAAAAATAAAGGAGAACATGTATTTTTATATAAAAATTAGTTAAACAGGCTTTATTTCTTTTAGAAATAATAAAAACATATTACTTAAATTTCTGCATCAATCGTATTCTGTGCATAGCAACCAAACGAGGTCCATAGCAACAGAGCTGAACAGACATTTTTTGTTATTCATGAATTATCAAAAACTATTGGTGACACTCCAATGGACTAGTTATGAGAATTCAAACAGATAATCTAATTTGCTAAAATTAAATTTAGTAGAGTGGTTATCTTTGAAATAGATAGGTATCAATAACAAAAAGAATTTGATTAATTGTATAAGAACAATACAGCATATACAAACTGAAAACTGTCAAGCAACCATCATCAAATCATAGCAACAGTAGTGTTAAACCAGAAATTGATTTATTTCATTAAATAAACTTCTTACTCATTCTAAAAAATGTTTATACAGATAAACTTTTAATAGATAAGTTGATTAAATTTTACACCAATTTAATATTAAAAAATAAAAAGAAATTGCACATTATTTCCTTAGCAACTTATATCCAACCATAGCAACAGTGAGTATGAATGAGGTAATTTCTGAATTTAAATCATTTTGTTCATAAACTGAGAGTACATAAAAAAGACTAAAAGCAAAAATCTGAAATTGGATCCATGTACATATCAAAATCCATAACAACCAAAATCAGACCATAGCAACAGCTTCCTAATGTAGTAACATAATATGTAAAAGTCAAGGATATATGGTTATTAAATTTAAACACAGCAGTATTTTAAAAATTGGGAAAAATACAATTCAAGAACAAAAGTCAATTAATCTTTCTTTCACTTTGAACTTCAACAAACCCATTGTAACCTTTATCTGACAATGGAAAATGAAATATTTTTTGGAAATAAACTTCAATACCCTGTGCAAATAAATTTCATGACAACCAAGTATTTGTTTATGGAACTTAACTTGTAAAAATGCAAGTTTTTTTTCTAAAATCAATTATGACCCTTTGTTAAGAAAGGGCCTGTAAATACATGGACTAGGTAATATCATTACTCTTGTTTGTTCAATGTACTTGTTGGTCAATAATTATAAGCTCATATACACTGATGGATGAATTTTTTTAAAGACTTTTATAAACTGAAATACATTACAATATATTCATTGAAAATGTACAAGTACCTAAAAAATGCATAGATCATCATAAATTTAAACGTTCATTTCACATGAATGAATATTGTGGCTCAAACCAGCACATGCTTACATACTGGTGAATAGACAATTTTTTTTAGACTATAACTAATTAAATATATTCATTGTAAATGCATAAGTACCTGAAAATTAACAAATCATCATGAATTTTGACATCATTTCACATCTCAGCATATAAATTGTATTTGTGAAACATATGAGTATCTTAATTGGTTCAAACCAGCAGCATACCTAAGTCAACGTACACCTAAGTCAATAATAACCTTCTTGTGTTGATTAAAACTACAACAGTGCATGGAATAACTAATTTCCAGTAATTTGTTACATGCAGGTAACATTGTTCCAAAAAAATGGAAGCAACAATCTTGCAAGGAGATATACATAAATTCAGATACCAATGTAAGTAGGTCGCCAAAGCATGTCAGTCCCTGTAGATTAAAGCTTGCAATGCATCATTTTGAAGTGTTTGTTGCAAGATTTCTGATATCCATGGCATCATTTTCAAAGTCTTCCGCTATAAGATCTTCTTCTTCATATGAACTGAACGAAATCTTTCCCTTTTCTAAGGACAGTCGACTGAAGTAGCTCGCAATTTGAGCTGATGACAAGAATTCTTGCTGACTGAATTTTCTTTTGCCATCATTATCCTTGACTGTTCTCATTTTAACAGACACCTCTTCAGCGTCACACTTATGTCCAGTCACTTCACCTTTCTCAAACATTTCCCTCAGGAAAGTGATTTGTTCCCTTTAAAATCTTTTGACTCTTCGTTTGGATTTCAAGGCCCATCCTCTCTGTAATATCACATTATCCGTTGGTAGGATGGTTGCTGGTCTTTGCAGCAATGTTGATTTCTTTACATCAATTTGATCCACATACTCCATTTTTGCCTTATCAGAAAGAGAATTAACATCAGTCCTTGTTTTATGATTTCCTCTAGGGGTGAAACGATACACCTCCTTCACGGTTCGATACGTATTGTATAATTTTGTCTCGGTTCGGTTATTTTCGATACGATACATTTTGATAGAATGAAACAAATTCAACGTTGTTTTATGCTTTCTTTTTCTAAATCTAGTCGCATATTTTACGAATTTTATTTGCAAATTGACTAGAAGAAATTGATTAAAATTATTTGACTGTCAAAATTTATTTTACAAGCTATCAGTCATCAAAAATTTAGGTTTTCTATAATTATTTATACTGAGTAACGTGTTTTACCTTATGCCAAACCCGACTGAATAACGAAAAATGAACCGAACCGAAAATTAGAGATTTTGCACCGTGTATCAAACCGAGAAAAAATACCGCGGTGAACCGTTTCACTCCTAATTTCCTCTGTCTAAATGTTCGCTCAAATATCCATATTTTTGGAAGGACATGAGACAATTGGGTTCAGGACAGGTGAAAATCAAGGAACTCTCATTACATTCCTCTGCACATTCCACACTGGCTTGTGTATTTTCTGCATAGACAGGTATTGGCTGGGCATGACCAGAAGTAACTGATTGAACTGGTTCAGTAGATTTCACAAAAACACTTGTGGAACAGGAAGTCATGGTCTCAACAGACGGGAAGACGTTGTATAAAACCAGGTCCTCATTTGGAAAATCCACACCAGTGCCGATATTGTATTGCCTGTGGCATGTTACATGACTCTGGTCATACTTGAAGTTGTTCAGCAGTGAGACATCCTTTATTTTTAATGACTTTTTCTCAGCACCAGGACTTGGGGGCAATGCATAAACCACTTCAACATTTTTGATGTTGGAATTCATGACAGCATCAAGGAACTCTCTTGCAGATGTGACATTATTTCCTTCGTTAACATATTTTCGGATGGATCCTTTAATATGCGCAGCTCTACGATCACAAATACTTTTGCCTCCCTGTGGATCAGCGAAGTCCACTTGCACAACCTTTACTTCACTTGTTCTGTTCAAAAAGGAAATGCCAAATATTCCCTTTACACCATGAAAACATCCTGCATTATTTGATAAATACTTCCCACAGCTTTGAATTCTTCTCTTTTAGTCTTTCCATGGAATCTTTTAAAATGGCATTTGATGTAGTGGCATCTTGATTCGCATTATCGAAGACATGGACAATCGTGTGACTATGAAGATCATTGTTGACATTGAAAGTTCCAACAGTTAAATGCCAGTTTAGACCTCTTTTTCCATACCATTTTGACTGCGATTCTCTATACATCATCGGTAAGAATTTCATGGCCCAATCTCTTTCCAGTAGTACTTGATCTTCACCTATGCTTTCCAATATGTCAGATCTTGCTCTATCTTGATTGACTGATCGTAGTATATGTTTTTTCCATTCTTCTAAAGCTTTTACACTCTAAAAAACAAAAAAAACAAAAAACAAAAAAAAACTACATAAAACATCTCATTGTTCAGCAATTTTTTTTTACCATTAAATTACCATCTTAACCACTAATTAATAAATAAAGTATCATTTTATAACTTTTATCAGGATGTAAATACGGGTTGGTCATGTGATCAAATCCAATAAAGCCCAAAGAGCCGATAAATATTAAAATGATAACTTATTACTTATATTTCCATTTGTGATTGATTTATTATTACAAATACTTTCAATTGGTACTATAGTTTTAAACCAATATAATGTTGTTGTTTTTTTTAAACCTCAACGGTATAAATTGAATGCATTGAACATGTTGATCACTTATGATGTCACTATGAAATTACAAAGATGGTTTATGACTAAACAATCAAATCATGGTAACATAAGGAACCTGTTTTTACACAGGTGTAAATATGCCTTGTTCAAATGTAAGGGAAAACATTTGCAAATGAAAATATTTAGGTTTTAAAGCAAAAATCTTCAGTACTTGTTCATATGTTTATCTTTCAATCATGTCTCAGCATTTTCTAACCTGTGCCAATGTGTACTGGATGTCGTCTCGTTGGTCTTCATCCTCAAACTGTGTTTCATCTGCAGCACATTGTATCTGCTCTATGGTGTTACTTAAATCATGACAGCTGGAACAGATTTTGTTGTGGGGATGGCTACAAGTCATCTGATGTTCATAAGCTTTCGAAGACAGGGCATAATTTAAACAATGGTCAGGAATTTCTGACTCAACTGCAACATGTATCTTTAAAGAAATAAAAACACTTTAATGCAAAATATAGTATTGTATTATAGAAGGATATGTGTCCTTTTATTAAAACCAGGAACAATTGTCGCCTTTTTTAAAAAATCTTCAAATTTTCAGTGGGTACATTTAGTACAAGAAGAAAAACAATAGGCCCATGGGCCACATTGCTCACCTGCACACCTTGGCTAGGCAACAGCACAAATCAGTTCAGTATTGCAAAGATAACGGGGGGGGGGGGGGGTGCTTCCATATCAAAATGAATACACACGATTTTTTCTGTTTTTGAGAATAAAATATTTTCATATATGTTCCTGTAAAATTTTCGATCCCCCATTGTGGCCCCACCCTATCCCTGGAGGTCATCATTTTAACAAACTTGAATCTTCACTACCTGAGCATGCTTCCATATCAAAATGACTAATCATGTCTTAGCAGTTCTTCAGAAGAAGATATTTTCCTATATATTTCTATTTAAGAATTTGATCCCCATTGTTGCCCCACCCTACTCCTGGGGTCATGATTTGAACAAACTTGAATTTACACTACCTGAGGATGCCTCCATATAAATATGACCAATCAGGGCTTTGCTGTTTCTGAGTAGATGATTTTTAAAGATTTTTCCTATATATTTCTATGTAAAGCTTTGATCCTCCATTGTGGCCCCACCCTACCCCTGGGGGTCATGATTTGAACAAACTTGAATCCACACTAGCTGAGGATGCCTCCATATAAATATGACTCATCAGGGCTTTGCTGTTCTTGAGAAGATTTTTAAAGATTTTTCCTATATATTTCTATGTAAAGCTTTGATCCTCCATTGTGCCCCCCCCCCTACCCTTGGGGTCATGATTTTAACAAACTTGAATTTACACTAGCTGAGGATGCCTCCATATAAATATGACTCAACATGGCTTTGCTGTTCTTGAGAATAAGATTTTTAAAGATTTTTCCTATATATTTCTATGTAAAACTTTGATCCCCTATTGTGGCCCCGCCCTACCCCTGGGGGGTCATGATTTGAACAAATTTGAATCTACACTACCTGAGAATGTTTCCACATGAGTTTCATCTTTCCTGGCCCTGTGGTTCTTGAGAAGAAGATTTTTGGAAGATGCTATTAATATTTCACTAATTCTTAATTATCTCCCCTTGGAAGAGAGCGTGGCCCTTCATTTGAACAAACTTGAACCCCCTTCACCCAAGGATGCTTTGTGGCAAGTTTGGTTGAAATTGACCCAGTGGTTCTGGAGAAGAAGTCAAAAATGTGAAAAGTTTACAGACAGACAGACACACGGACTACGGACAAAATGTGATCAGAAAAGCTCACTTCAGCTTTCAGCTCAGGTGAGCTAAAAAATCACACAAAATATACTTCAAAACAAACCTTATAATCAAGTTTAAGATACTGTTTCCCATTGACAGTTTCTGAATTATGTCATCTTCCCACTCCACTCCCTTCAACAGCTTCCCCAACTCAGTAACAATTTTCTTTAGGTCATCAATAGCTCTGGCTCCATCTGCAGCATAGTTATCTAGCCCTTTCATGCTTTTCCTTACTCTTGGCTCAATGGCCTCTAGTACTCTCATATATGACCTGTCACTGGCAACATTCTCTACTCCAGACTCTAAGGAGAAGCTCCTATACTGCTCCACTACACGAGCTCTTACACAATTCAAAATAATTTGTGGAACTTGAACGACTTCTCCACTTGAAAGTTTTAATTTTGTTTCCAAAAATGGAGAATCTGTCATGATGCAGGGGGACATCTATAAAATGTTTGACCTGGTGATCAGACAAACCTTCCCTAGTATATGATGGACTTTGCACCTCTTGTCCAACACCTCTTGTAATGGCATGTTTTCTTGCTGCTGTATATCTGTATTTAGTAAGGGTTGGAATGAAGGTAATCAACTGATTGTAAGTATAGGCATGAGCAAATAATGACAAAATTTGTCTCTGTGTTCCCCGTCAGCAGAAAGGTTATAGGCTTTTGAAAGAAATTGCAGCATGTTGTTGTCAGCAGAATCTGAATCAGTTTTCAATAAAGCATCCAGCAGAAAAGAGCCTTGACCTGGTGCAAGGACATTCACAACCTCCTGAAAAATTGATTTAGCTGATGATATATAATCACTTTTTGTACGGTCAGATGCTTCATTCCAATCTGTTCTGAGTTGCTTTTTTACTGGACTTAGACCACAACTTTTCAGAAAAGTGTCCAGAGCTTTCCTCTTGTTATTGATTTTCTGGATGATCACTTCCCTCCTCTTCTTCATATGTATCTTGACTGCTTGGTAACCAGAGGCTGCCTTGTGAATCTATGGACACTTGCGTACTTGTCTACAAAGAAAATTTTTTTGTAAGCACCAACTTAAATTAAAATTCTTATACCCTCCTATCAAAAGGACATGGTCCTCAAAATGGCACAAAGTTGTTCCTTTTAACAAGCAATCTAATTAAAATTAGATGTTAGATCTGCTCGCATACTCGATACAGTTGGTGTAGTGTGTATTCCAGTGGATCTTACATTTTTAAATATTAATTAACTGGTTAACAAGAGGCCGAAGGGCCTTAACAGTCACCTGAGTATAATACAACAAATGATCACAAACAATGCAGATAGCAACAGGTTACCTGATTTAAATGTTTGCATCAAGTGTTGAGAATTATATACTGAATTTGTATGCATAGATAAAAATTTCATCTTTTAGTTTGCTAGGATTGATACTCTATGTATAGTGATAAAATAATGTGGAATAACTTCAGTACTTTTGGTAATTAGCTTGGAAAGTTATGTCACGTTATCTCACCTTGAATGAACATGAAATTAATTTTCTTGCAAAAGTGATGTGAAATATATATATTTTATATATATATATATATATATATATATATATATATATATATATATATATATATATATATATATATATATATATATATATATATATATAACATAAAAAAGGGTATTTAAGTTGTTTGATTTATAAGTAAAAAATCTTTGAAGAGATGTTTAACAAAAAAAAAAAAAAATAAACAAATTTTATTTTAAACTGCTACTTACAATCTGATCAAAATCATCTGTATTTGTGCTTTGATTAACACCATCAGATGTGTGTGAATAACTGCTGGAAGGTTTCAAATGAACTGTGAGTTCTTGATTTAAAGGTGAGCCACCATCCTCTTTAACTGTGTCTTGTACAACAGTGTTTTCTTTTCCTGATGCCTAGAAAAACAAATAGTAAAAATGAAAAAAATAATAAGAAATGTATGAAAACCATACCCCCCCCCCCCGCAATATTTAAAAGTGAACGACTTTAAAGTTAGAATGTTTGTAATGAAAGCAAAACAATTGGTCACCTAAAAGTCAGGGGTAAACATGATTTCAAGTTTGATCAATGTCAGACCTCAATATCATTGAGGGTAATTTACTTCTTAGACAGTACCAGTATACTAAATTTGATCTAAGTAAAGAAAGTGGTTCTCAACATAATGAGCTGACATGTCTTCCAATGTCTAGTGTCTATGTTGTATGACCCTGGACTTCTGATCTTTTGACTGCAAAATTGACAGGTGTCATCTAGTGCCAAAGGGGAATGAATGTACGATTGATTGATTGATTGTATATTGTTTTAAGTCCCATTGAATGTACGAAGTTTGATGCCAAGGAAAATTATTCTCAAAATATTGAGCAAACAAGATCTTCCTGTGTCTAGAGTAATTAAAGCTTTGATCTTTGACCTTGTGACCTCAAAATCAATAGAGTTTATCTACTCTTCAGTCTGCCACTTAGTGCCAACTTTGATGACTGTTAAGCAAAGAATTCTCAATATATTGAGTGGACAACATTTGGTTTACAGACCAACTTTCAGGCACCAACCATCTGTATTTTTTTAGCAAAGGGGGGGGGGGGCATATGTTACAATGTACATGTTACCCCCACCCTTTAAAAAGCAAGTTTTATTTGTTGAGTTATAACCTTTACAATCTTGATAACTTGCCAGTAAATAATTGCTGGACGGTGTAGCACTGTGCAATAAAGGCCCATTCTCCTTCTCAACTGAATACACAATTTTGCTCCTGCATTGTCGACATACTCCTAAAAGAAAAAGACAGAAGTAATCATCTCCAATGGCAGTTATCGACAGACATATTTCATTATCTGAGATTTGATAAAAACAGACCTGCTCCAACAGGAATAGTTATTCCAAATTCTTTAAAAACATGCTGAGATTGGTGTAAAGTTATGGAAGCTCGTTCTGGTTTTCTTTTACCACCACAAGTTTGCAGGGGGAATGGCATCATACATAGTTTTGAACTCCTCCATCCTTTCCCTAAATGAAATCGATGGTTTGGGCATATTGTCAGGCTTTCAGCATATGTAGTTTCAAAAATCCCTGCTATTAACAAAATTAGTTCACTCTCATTGCTGAATGATGACGAGTTTATTCTGTTTGTTGACAGGTGTGAGCTAATATCATCAAGGCATGCATACAAAGTGACAATACGTGCAGATGGTTTGATGTTTTCGTTCTTATCACAAACAATATGTGGTGCATACTGGGAAAATGAGCACTCCATTTCAAATCATTTTAAAATTTTGTTTCTCTGTCTAAAACATAAAGTAGGAGTACATATGTAAAATTTTGTCAGCAAGTCTAGTTACACAGCATTATATTAATATACAGTTGTATAATTCTTAGATAATGTTTTTATACTTTATAATTAGTTTTGGTAGGCATTAAGAAAGTAAAACAATCTAACTTCTTAGATAGAGTATATTCCTAGCTTTAGACAAAAGTTACATTGATAAGATCTGTGTATTGGTCAGCCAGAGTCTTAGTAAGCAGGCTAAATGGGAAGATGGGACCTCCTGGTGAGCTAAGTCATTTGATTACAGCATCAGCATTTAAAACCGTTACAGAGACCATTAGACTTTGCAGTTCTTCTAAGATCCCGAAGATGTCAGAGGCACAATTAAGAGCTGACCGCGAATTGGTATATTTTCATAATTGGTTAATTTGTTAATTTAAACTGGTGATTTTATGGTTAATAACTGGATTAGTTTCTTTGGTAAATTTGGGTGAAATCTGGATTATTTATGGTGTGCTTATAGAATTCTTGAAACTTAAACCTTTATTTAATAGGAATTAGCTCATTACTACTGGTGACGTTTTCACACCGAGTTACAGGTGTTTAAGACCTTGGGATTATGGAAAGCTGTAGGTGGCGTTGATTCACCATAGCTTTACAGCAACAAGAGTATTGGTGATAAGTATTTGTTGGTGGCGTCGATTCACCACAATTTATTCACCGGAGTTATTCACCCAAAACTTCACCAGTAGTTTTCTTTAAATAATTAGGGCAACAAATAGTTTCATGGGTGTTTGAATTTATTGTTTTTATTTCATTGTTTGATCAACAATCCAACATTATTTTGTATTTTAATAAACTTCATAGTGTCTTAGTATTCTGGATTTATTTTCTTGTGAATTCTTCAACTGAGGAGGTTACGCTACATATTACGCTATTGGCTCGTTAAATATCCGAACCCAAACTTTGTTGACGTTTCGAGCCGCGTCACAATATACATATGATTTAACTTTATTTTGCTCTACAAAAAAATAAACCTTGTTATTTTAAACTTGGTGGGGCAGAGAAAAACCTTTGAGGTAGCCAAAGATTAGAGATTACGTAGTTAAGATACATAAAGATAAGTCGATTAAGACTTCAAACTCAAAAGTGAATATTTACCTAAAAACACAGCAATAACTTCAAACTTAGGCATTTCTATATTCAAGGGATAGTACAGCTCTGTCTGAAAAATATTCTGAAATAATCAATGGTACATATTGCATGTAGAATTTGCCATCAAATTTAGTTACACACTGACAATATTTGATTTAAAACTTTAAAATTAATGTGAAATCCCAATTTATACCAGTGCTCTACAATGACCAAATAATGTACAATAATTAAATTTATAATTACTATGCAGTAGTGCATGTAAAAACAACAGAAAAGGAATTCCTAAAAAAAATTATTAAAGAGTAAATACAGTTTGAAGTCTCGAAGAATCCATGTGTGACATGTTCAGTAACACAAAATTCTCAGGAAATTCGGTCAAACATAATTTGTACTTGTTTCTTGATACAAAATTCAATGATACATTAGGAAATTCATTTAATGGATATTATTTTGTGTATATATATCCCATATACTTTTACCTAACAAGAGATCATGTTCTTATTTAGAAATCGTATCTTCATTATCATGCCATTGAACTTTTTGGTCGTCTGCAGACAAGTTGCCTATATATTTTTTTTATCAATATTTCTTATTATGATATGAATATAGATCTAATATCTGTATACTTACATGATTTTAGTCCTGTTTCCCAGTCTCACTCAGTCTGCTCTTTTCCACTCTATCCCCAGGGCCATAAACTTTGTTTTGAGACGATTGACACTAATGACAGAATTTGCCGCCATATTGCATATTGTTTACACAAAAGATTCAGCTAAGGGAAGTAACTCTTAGAATTTTTAAGTGCTGTAAGTGAGGGTAAACGTTCCGAAAATCGCACATAAATTATCTACAACAAATGCTTCTCATTTTTTTGCAGATCTTTGTAGTAAAAGAAGTATTTTTTTTTAATTTTTAATACCAGATTCAGACAATCTTGTTGTAGATTAAAGAATATAATTCTTATTTTGGC